CTTTAATTTGTAGAATAATCAATTTATTTAAATATAAATTTAGAGTAAATAAAAACAACTAATAAACAAGAAGGAAAATTCATATATATTGTATTAATTACAGTAAAAATGAGGTGATTAAAACTTACAAGAAAGTGATCATTTAAAACTTATCATGTCAAAAGATTTACTTTTAATCTTAAAATTCATGTGATTCTAAAAAAAATCAATAATCACATCTTAAAAATACTATAATTATTACATATGTGACATAATTGTTATTAGAAATTAAATGACAATTAATGATACGGTTTATTTAAAAAGAGATAATAATGAGAATAATAATATGGGTATTTGATTAGAGATATTAAACAGTAATCAATGAGAATGAAAATTAAAAAAAAATGTTTGACATTATCTATACTATATTATAAAGCATTTAATAAAAACTCTTAAAAATCATTCTTTATGCATGACGTACTGTTTATTAATGCATATTACTTAAAATTTAATATTACAAGTAAATTGTGTTTAATTATAACTTATTAAAGCTTCATTTTTAATTTCATATAACTAACTGCAGACTAACATAATCAGATATAGAATAAATAGCTCATTTTAAATATAAAAAATCTAAAATATAATTATCTATACTATATTATAAAGTATTTGATAAAAACTCTTAAAAATCATTCTTTATGCATGACGTAATGTTTATTAATGCATATTACTTAAATTTTAAGATTACAAGTAAATTGTGTGTAAGTACAACTTATTAAAGCTTTATTTTTAAATTCGTATAACTAACTGCAGATTAATATAATCAAATATAGGATAAACATCTCATTTTAAATATAAAAAATCTAAAATATAATTAGGATAATCATTGAGTTCTAACAGAATCATTATCTTTATAAGAATTATATTGTTAAGTCATAAATATAGTACTTCGCTATTAGACCTAAAGTAAATTATTATAATTTAAATTAAAGAAATTGTACAAAAAAGAGCTTTTAAATAGTTAATTTGACATTAATATCTATGTATTTTTTTTCAAAATTTTATGATATTTTTAAATTTATGTTTATTCAAAAGTAAAAACATTGTTTTTCTCAAAACCACATAATAGATATTATATCAACAAAAAAAAGAAAAAAACGAAACATTAAAATGAAGATGTATCTCGCTTTATTACGCGAGTACCTTTCTACTATAATATAATGAGTCCATTCCCCCAAAAGCCCAAATTTTTATTCCAGATTAAACTGAAGGAAATGAAAATCCATTCTCTGTCATTTTCATTTCCCAACATGAACCAAACAACCCCTTAAAATTAATAAACATATAATAAACTGAAATATCAAGAATTATTTCATCAAAAAAAATCAGTCAATGATTAGTCTTAGTACATTAAACATGTAATATGTGACTAAAAATAATTATATTTACTAATTTACCATATTTATCTTAGAAGGCACATTATATTCCTTTTACAAAACATTTTAGGGGAAAAAATAAAATTCTAAAAATAAGCTTAAATTTTATTTATTGTAGTTCAATTTCATATTAGAAAAAAAAAAAAAAGACTAAATAATGATCATAATTTATAGTTACTGGTCCTTTAGTTTTTGCCACGTTAAGAATATACTTTTAAGGGATGTTTAGTTCACATGATTTCAACGGGATATGAGGAAATTGTAATTGACCAAATTTTATTCCAGTGTTTAAATTATATATGAAATGTAATTGAATTCTAAATTCACGAATTTGAAATGAAATAAATTTCATTCCAATTTTATTTTATTTTCTTAAAAGTACAAAATCACTCCCATATTGATAAAGGATACTATATATATGTGTTATATATAATATATTTTATATACACATATAATATTATATATATATTATATTATAAAGCATTGGACAAAAACTCTTAAAAACCACTTTTATGCGTAAATTCTGTTTATTAATGCATATTACTTAAAACTCAAGATTACAAGTAGATTGTGCGTAATTACAACTTATTAAAGCTTCATATCTGAATTCGTGTAACTAACTGCAGATAAACATAATCAAATACAGAATAAACAAATATAAAACATCTAAAATATAATTAGAATAATCATTGATATCTAACAGAAATACTTAATTATTATCTTTATAAAATGTTATATTATTAAATCAAAAATAAATTATTTTATTATTAAACTTAAATT